GCTGATTCCTAGAATTCCTCTCAACTATCCCAGTATTCATGTCAAATATTTTCCATCTGTTATTAATGATATGAAAATGTATGTAAATCTAATATCATGAGCTTGGTGAGTAATGTGTTGCATTTAGTTGCTTGTTTATGTGAACACTGGGATAGTGCACATGAACATCTGTGCCACATATGGACTACTAAGTACCCTAGTCCCGATGGAAGACGCCCCCAAAGTTGGTTGAGAACAACAGGGACCTTCATTCCAGACAGACAAGCATCTGTTGGCCAACCAACCACACATAGTGGTGGCTGAAAAGGAACAGAAGACCACAGTTGTGACAATCTTAGCATACAGCAGCATCAGAAAGAAGGAGCACAAGTAAATGGTTGTTCCAGTCACTTTCATGGCCACGCATGTATAAAAATCAAGTAACTAGGCATGCAGACTGCTTCTGCAACATTTGTGAACGAATGGGTCCCTCTCGGGAGCTCATTTAATTCAGCGTGATACCTTGACAGGATGCCACCTGTGCAACAAGTCCAGTCGTGAACTTTCCTCACTGCTGAATATTCCACTGTTAGTGGTATTTTAACAAAGTGATTGAGAATTCCAGCGACTCAGCTGTGGTAGGTAATGTAAAATCACAGAGGTGTGCAACTTTCTGGGGAGTTAATCACTAAAGACTTCTAAACTTCATGTGGCCTTCAAATTAGCTCAAGTACAGTGGGTAGAGAGCCTCACGGAACAGCTCTGCATCCAAGCCTTACATCACCAAGTGCAACGCAAAGCGTAAGATGCAGCGGTGTAAAGCACACCACCACTGGAGTGGAGACATGTTTGATGTGTCCGCATCAATAGCCGTCTTCACAGAAGTGCTTCTGTAGGAATAAAATGCACTTCTGGAGATTCACAGAAGAGTTGAAGCTGCTATATTAAACCCTGTGGACTCAAGATGGGATGTCACTCAAGTTCATATGCATTCAAAGGCAGATCAGTGAATACTTTTGGGAATATTGTGTTAGTTTTTATTCATTTACATCACTGACATCAATGCATCATGTTCGGCTTTTTGGCTGATGAAATAAAGGGGGGGAAAAAAAGCATCATGTGCATTTGGGTAAAAACTTTATTAACAAAACAAGAAGGCAAAGCACAGCCCAAGCTTCCATGGCACAGCAGCCTACATTACCTCGCTGTCAATCACTAAAAGTGCCACGAGTATAACAATTCTAACATCCATCGTTGTTACAGTTAAATATTAAAATAACACAGCCACTCGGATATACTGCATAATATATATTTACTCTAAAGACCTTTTAGACAACATCTACAGGAGGGGAGCCCAAGTCATGCTCATTCTCTTGCGCTGTAGCGCCATCTAGTGCCATCTCAGCACATTTACAGTAGTAGTACAATCAGAAACACAACAGCCCAGCGGTAGAAGGAGAAATCAAAAGGCTCGGGACAAAACAGACACTTTGTACCGTTTACAATCTCCAACAGCAATCTGTACTATACTTACAATCTGCACCTTAAGAGTATGGAAATGCTGAGTGATGTAACAGTGAAGAGAAGAAGGCAGAGGGGTTACTATAAGCATTTTAAAAGGAAGATTTCACCCATTTAATGCAATATTAATTTGCTCAAATGCAAGCCAATATTTATCACTCTTTATGGTTTTAGAGTATCACACCTTCATTGCGTTGCTGTACTTAATCTTTGCACAAGTTTGAAATTTTATCCGCGATTTTCCAGGTGTAGGAAAGATCACTGCGTGTTCACAGGGATCTACTCCACACTCCTGGGGGAGAAAAAAAAAAAAATCTTGCACTCCTAAAAGGTTCATGTTTTAATTCCGTTATTACAAATCATGGCTATTTTACAGCACTAAATAAATTTGGTTTAAATTTGATATGAAAAACTTTATCCAAGTACCTCAGTTCAACTTGTCACGCCTCCTTTATTTTTGTATTGTGTTAGTTTATATACCCCAAACAAGTTTCAAGAAACATACACTTTATGGAAACCAACGTCTGAAAAATACCATCATGTTAAACCCTAAAATCTTATTACATCTTTCACCCTCATTGTGTTGCATGCATTTAAAATGGTTAACAAACTGCAGTATACATGATCCTAACCTTGCTGACAGGCTTGTAATTTAGAACAGATGTACTTCCCTTTAAAGGGTTGAAAGAGTTCAGGCCCAGTTAGTATTAATGGAAAATTGCAGATTTATTGTGTCGTCAGATGAGGTGGATTTGCAGTAGTTGATTTTTTTTTTTTTTAAATGGTAAAAGTTAATATTTCCTCCATTACAACAAGTAATTTGTCTACAGTCTATAAGAAACAGCAGTACACTTTAAACTATTCCAGTGATACTCATTTGGTGTCACATCTCTGGGTTTCTCAAGTTACGGTGGTGCATTTTTTCTTTTCTTTACTTTATTAAACTCCAGTAGGCACAGAGGAGGTGCTGCCCCGTGGTAGCCCGAGGATAAAGATGAGGTGAAGAAGATGTGACGAGGGTCAGACGGGATTCCAGTGGAAGTCAGAGATGCAGGTGTATAACTTTGCCTAGGCAACCACCCACTGCAGGATGCTGGTGTCCTTCCCACCAGTGGAGATCAGGTGACTGTCATCGTGCAGGAAGGCAACGTTGGTCACGTGACTGCTATGGCCACCGTATTCTTGACTCGGAGCCTGGATAACAAAGCAAAGCAGGACCAAAAAAAAAAAAAAAAAAGTTAAGGAGTAATTAATTAAAAGTGAACAACATGCTCTTTTGGGAATTTTAAATGAAAGTGTCACAGTTTTCTTTATTTGAAGGATGTATAAACTATATACACTGTTAACCTGGTGGATACATTACTGCACTAAATGCTCGGTTTCATCCTACTCTGTGCTTTGTAAGATGTCATGGAGAACAAATGATAATATAGTCATAATAATCCCCAATCACCTGCAGTTCAAACCTTCCCTTTTGTCAGGGGCAGCCAATCATAAGAAAGTTGACCTAAGGAAGGAGGAGCTAAAACTGATCCTTCCAGACTCAGGATGAACTGAGGTGCTGAACCAAGTACAAGATACGTAAGTTTTATTTTGAACTGTGACTCAAGCAAAGATACTCTAGTAGAGTCCAAGAGCAATAACAGAGTTTAAGTTCTCCATTGTTAATAGTAACCCTTTTTCTTTTTCTTGTTTATGCATGCGTAAATTTGTGTGCATCATAGCCACAGTGACATCTTACTCAGATAAAGTTGAACAATCTCATATGGGAAGTTATTTCAGCTGCTGCTGCTGCCCCTGCAAGCCACTTTGCAACCCATCTCGACCTCAACTCCATTTATTCAATAGGAGCCCGACTTATTTAATCTATGAATCCATGCTCTCCTCTTGACGGGGGCTCTTATTGCAGCTTTAGACTTATTTGCATGGAAGCTACAGGAACAGATGTCCAATACCAATAATACCAAATATAAATTACTGGAGAATAAAATTAATCATGAAGGTTATTTGCAATGAAAAACAAATGTATAATGTGGGTCTTTTTACATTCGTACCAGCTGTTCATGAAACACAACTGTCTGGTTTAAGCCACTAAACACTCATTTTCATTCCAAATCTGTTTAAAATATGTTGTAACTTTTTACAGCTTGTGATTTTCTGTGCTAATGGCAGCCAGTTTGTCTTAATGGACAATTTAGTTTACAGCCCCAGTTTAGAAGGCTTTAACTGAAAACTTGTAAAAAAGGTGTCTAACAGCCTGCAACGGTTTGTGAGCACAATATAAACAGCTGGTAGACATTGTGCACATTACAGGCCTTGATAATGATAAGGTATTCTGTTATTTCTGCTGAGCTTTCATTGGGTTTCCCAGTGTTCATTAAAACTTAATCACAATGCAGTTGAGAGACAAACACCATCGCTACGTAGTTCTGGCAGTGCTGAAAGTCAGCGTGTCTGCGAAGTGGAACAAATTTACAAACA